ATCCATCCATCCATCCATCTATCTATCTATCTATCATCTATATATCTATCTATCTATCATCTATCTATCCATCCATCCATCCATCCATCCATCCATCTATCCATCTATCTATCAATCATCTATCATCTATATATCTATATATCTATCTATCATCTATCTATCTATCATCTATCCATCTATCCATCTATCCATCCATCCATCCATCCATCTATCTATCTATCTATCATCTATCTATCCATCTATCCATCCATCCATCCATCTATCTATCTATCTATCATCTATCTATCCATCTATCCATCCATCCATCCATCCATCCATCCATCATCTATCTATCCATCTATCCATCCATCCATCCATCCATCTATCTATCTATCTATCTATCTATCTAGAGGATAGATGTTAAGGATGTTTTGTTGGCAAAAACAAACACTTCTTTATTCACAGAACAAATAACACCTTATTATCTGATTCCCTTCAATACACACTTCAACATTCAAGTTTCACCATCTAAACACACACTGGCTCTCTTTCACACACAGCTTTCTTTCAGGTGCACATTTCAACGGCGCTTCAAATCCTCAGACGCGCTCGCAGACACACCGAGCAGCTGACCGCGGCTGGAGGATTTGCCTTCAAATAAGCAAATCCAGACCGCAGCTGTAAGCAGACCCCAGAGTCCTATTTTGAGGAAACGATGGTGGTGGCAATGGCAGTGATAACACTTATTATCCAAACAGAGAAGAAGCCGAGAAATCTCACGCATCTGCGTAATTGTAGCTTTCTCTCCCGCGACTCAACCGCAGGCAATAGCCAGCGTCTTGGAAAATTCATTTTGAGATATTTTCACCATCAAATAAGCCAGGTTTTGCATTGTGAGAGATGTCGTTCTCTATAGCTTGGCCGGTTTTGATGTTCCAGCTTACATAAAAAAAAAAAAAATTGGTAAACTGATGATTTTTAAGTATAATATTTTGAGCATGAAATCTTGTTGGCTCATGCTCAAGCTTTCTGAGCCAAAACACAGCTGCAAACGCATGCATTCATAAATAAAGTGTCTTGTTTCTAACCACAACAGGTGGCGGAGTTTGACTTTCTATATAAGTAACACAACACGCTCACAGCTGGGAGGAAAAGCCTTTGAGCTGCTGAACTCTGCCGCCCAAGTCACTCAGTCAGTGGGTCAGTGGGTCTGCGCTCCACCAGCCATATCCATATTCAAGCCTGATCAACAACTGCAGACCCTCAACTCATGCTGAAAGCAAAAGCAGCACGACTAACTGATGCATTATGGAAATAACGGAACAGAAATACATCAACTGTGAATTAACAAAACACCCGTGGTAATTTAAAACGCAAAGATTAAAAAAAAAACTCCTTACAAACACGTACCAAGATACAGTGATAGTTACTGCTATGGTACTATATGTATACCATATTCATATATCTTTCCAATAATAAGTTTCTCCACAATACTTACAGGTTCAGTTTTTGATCATTTTGAACTTATCGGCAACTGGACGATAGTTTTTATTTTTTCCATCAATTTCAAAGCCTAACAATAAATTTTAAAAAAACATAAAATTTATACTGTCAGATCTTAGCAATTTTGTGTCCGTCTGATGTTTGCCATCAATATGTTATATTATTTATATATCAGCATTACATTAGTCTACCTACAGCCTTGTTTATGGATAATCTTTTTTAGTTTTCAAAGTGTGAATTAATTAAATAAAAATAAATAAATAAATATATATATATATATCATTTGCAAAAACCGATAAACGCCACTTTAAAAAAAAAAAAGAGCTGATTGCCGTGCATTATTCTCCACATATAGCGCGATCTGAACCCCAATGATCCACTTTCAAGGCATCGCAAGTTCACGTTTTACTGCAGAAGCAGACAAGCACCCTTGTCGTTTTTGAACAGAAGCCGATAAGTCCATTTTAGCGAATCAGCGCGCATGCTAAACACAAAGTAATGTACTTATTGTAAGTGTTTTCCCAAAAGACACTATACTGACTGGTTCATGCGTGTTCAATCATTATTTATTGTTGATCACTGCGATTCTCACCATTCTCAGCGAGTGGTGCCAACACCTCGAAGATCATCTCCTTCTTCTCATGCTCCACCTGCTTACGGAAGAGTCGAACCAGCTCCTCTGCAATATTTGTAGAGGCAAACTGCTCCTTACTGGACTCTGTTTGAGGATCAGGCAAAAGAGACGTGCAAGCTTTATCCAACATGTTCTGATGTATTTTAATATATGGAAATCTGGATATGTAGTAGGCAGTGTGACTGAATCGAATCGGTAACTCACCAAGCTCTGCCAGGTTGCCAAAGGCAATGAGGCACATCTCGGTGAGTGCGGTGTTTTGAGAATGAACTCCCAGCAGTCTGACCAGCGTGGGGATCACACCCATGCTGATCAGCTGAGCCTGCAGCGAGTCTAGAGAGGAAAGACAAAACAGGAGATTCTCTTTATTCTGGTTCATGCAGATCATTTTCTGACAACATAGATAATATATTAGTCATTTACATTAATGGTTAAGTATTATGTATTCATCATTCTTCTGGCAATTACATTGCAATAAATGGAGTTTATCCAAACACAATTTTTTTTAATTAAAAATATTTATATCCAATGCCACACACAATAATATGATTTTCACAATGAATAAAAATGTGGTTACTTGCTATCCGCCACCACTGTCATCAAAAATAAGTTTGTATCAGTGTTGTTATCGATAACTACAAGTGAAACTAAAACTATTAAACATAATTTTTGTAACTGAAAAAAAGCTTAAATAAAATATTAAGAAATACAAATATTGAAAAAAAAAAAAAATGAAAACACTTGAACAAAAATAAGAAATTAACAGAAATTAGGAATTAATAGAAATAAATTAATAGGAATTAATAGGAATAAATATTTTAAGTATTAAAATTACTAAAACTAAAATGAATTAAAGCTATATATAAATAAAAAACAAACTGATAAAAATGACAAAAGCACATAAAATTAAATAAAGCAATTAATTAAAATTTAAATTTAAAAAAAAAAAGAATTCAAAATATTTAATGAACTAAAAGTGTAATTGTAAAATGCTAAAATTTAATTTTGGTGTAATTCACTGATCCACTCAGAGCTTAATGTGTACATTTATGTATTACTTTTACTATTTTATTTTTAATTATGATTCATCAAAGTTTCTTTTTTTATGTACATGATTTCATTTCTTCAGCAAATCTTCTAAAACTAAATTATGTTAGAAGTAATCAAAAATTAATCACTTGTTATGAGTGATTTCAACATCGTTTATATCCTGCAATGTTTGAAAACAGGCTAGAGGCTGAAAGAGTTAATTTACCAGCTCAAAGTATTACAGACTGTACATAAAATGCAGTCACATTATTTACTGCTCTGAGATTTCATTTTTGTAAAGTGCTTTGCTGAGACTATATAAAATATAGTCTTGACCTAAAAATGTGAAAGATAAATCAAGACCACAATGGAACAAAGGACTGCTTAGCCATCACATTTCATGTACATACACGGGTCCTTCACCACTGAAAATACTTGGTTCAACCACACTTGTTTTCCAGTACAAATTTCCAAATGTCTTTAGAACAGAAATCTACCTGAGAATTAATCTTGCATCAAATTTTAATATATTTTATAGAGAATATCTTGTTGGTAATTTTGGCAGACATTTTAGTGGTCAACACATACATTACCAGGGCCGATATATTTGGCCTTTTTAAATGATTAGCATCAGCCTGTAAGTTTTTCTATTTGGCTGATATTTTGACTTATTTTTAGTGGTTGACTAATACATTAACGATTTATCAACTGATATTTGGCATTTTTTAATTAATGGCATCGGCTTAGAAATTTTCCGTTTGGCCAATACGTGTTAAAAGCAGCTTTTTGACAGCATTAAAAATGCCAGCATCTGAGCGCAACTGTATGATGCGCTATATACAATTTGCCACTATGTCATGTCACTGTGTACTGCACGTAAAATCAGTCTTACCTGGACTTCATTTGAGAAAATATAATTCCCAGTGTGCACAAACTTACCAGATGACGGAGTAAAAAAAAAAAAAACAATATCGGTTGACATCTACTTATTTTTAACATTGGCTTTATATCGCTCATTGGCCACCCTGTTCTCCAAGATATTGGCATAGGCCACTAAAACAAAATACTGGTTGACAACTACTTATTTTATCATCAGCTTTATATAGGCCATTGGTCACCCTGCTCTCCAAGATATCGGTATCAGCCATAAAAAAAAAAATCTATATTGTTTGACAACTACTTATTTTAATATTGGCTTTATATGGGCCATTGGTCACCCTGCTCTCTAAGATATTGTATCGGCAATAAATAAAAGAAATCGATATCGGCTGTCAACTACTTATTTTAATATCACCTTTATATCACTCATTGGCCACACTGCTCTCCAAGATATCGGTATCAACCATAATAAATAAATAAATATCGGTTGACAACTACTTATTTTAATATTGGCTTTATATGGCCCATTGGTCATCCTGCTCTCCAAGATATCGGTATAGGCCGTATCGGCGATAAAAAAAAAACAATATTGGTTGACAACTACTTATTTTAATATTGAATTATTTCGCTCATTGGTCACCCTGTTCTCTAAAATATTGGTATCGGCCATTAAAAAAATCAAATCGAATTCATCTCACTCATTGGTCACCCTACTCTACAAGATATCGGTATCAGCTGTAAAAAAATATCGGTATCACCTATAAAAATAAATACACATCGGTTGACAACTGCTTATTTTAATATTGGCTTTAAATCGCTCATTGGTCACCCTGCTCTCTAAGATATTGGTATCGACCATAAAAAAAAAAAACATTGGTTGACAACCACTTATTTTAATTTTGACTTTATTTCACTCATTGGTCACACTGCTTTCCAAGATATCAGTATCAGCTTTAAAAATAAATAAATAAATACATATTGGTTGACAACTACTTATTTTAATATCGGCTTTACTTCTCTCATTGGTCACCCTGCTCTCCAAGATATCAGTATCAGCTTTAAAAATAAATAAATAAATACATATTGGTTGACAACTTCTTATTTTAATATTGTCTTTATATCGTCCATTGGTCACCCTGCTCACTAAGATATCGGTATTGGCCATAAAAAAAATCAATATCGGTTGACAATTACTTATTTTAATATTGGCTTTATATCGCCCATCGGCCACTCTGCTCTCTAAGAAATCGCTATAAGCCATAAATAAAAATCAATACTAGTCAACCACTACTTATTTTAATCTTAAAGCTCACTAAATGTATCATTTTATGTCTTGTTTATGTTTACTAACAGTCATATTTTGCACAGCTGCACAAGTAAGCCCTTAAATACCCAGTGAAAAGATGTTTCAGTTTGTCTAGAAATGTCTCGATGAGACACAAAGATGTGGGCGGCACCGGCACACATCTAGTGCCATCAATTTGTCAGGAAGCAGATGTTGATCAGTAAATTCAACGAAGCAAAGAGGAGACGGCAGCTGAGACAGCAGAGAGCTGTGTTAAATAAGACGGCCCAGGCAGAGGAAAACATCCACAGTTAAAAAAGGAGAAAATGTTATTGAGTATGAAAGACCATGGAAACAGAGTTTGGTACAAAGAATTGTAGCACATAACCTTTAAAACATTTATGCAACAGAAGTCCCTTCATCACATTTAATAAACAGTTGACAGTCCAAAATGCTTCCTCCCTACTTCATAATTGCTTGTTATTTGCTTTATCGACCACAGAAGCTTTGCTGGTCTGAGAGCAAGAGGAACATTTGAGCAACAGTTATTGGCTAAATGTATCACATGAGAAAACACAACATAACAAGCCTTGGCAGAACTGGACATTAGCCAGAAATCATTGAGGAACTCCCGCCAGTAATCGAAGCCCAAATCACGTCAAGGAAATATCAACCGGGGACCTGCAGATCTCACTGATGGAGAATGAGTCACGTTTCCTAAAAGAACTGTGAAGTATTTGCATCTCATCTAAAGCTCATGTAAGATTTATATGCTTTAAGTACTTTACTTTTTCAGTAGAGCAGAAAGCTATAACACTGACAGTTTACAAACAGCAAAAATCAGCCATCGCAAAACTAGATTATACCAAATAACTGAATAATTAGTGACTTTACTCTTTACAATATAAATAACACAAACATATGCATTTAAAAGGATAATTCCATCCCTGGATGCTGAGTGGTCAATATAGCCTCTCAGGCATGCTAAAATAAATGATAGCCTATACCAGGCCTGTCCAAACTCGGTCCTGGAGAGCCGGTGTCCTTCAGAGTTTAGCTCCAACTTGCCTCAACACACCTGACTGGAAGTTTCTATGCCTAGTAAGAGCTTGATTAGCTGGTTCAGGTGTGTTTAATTAGGGTTGGAGCTAATCTCTGCAGGACACCGGCCCTCCAGGACCGAGTTTGGACAGCCCTGGCCTATACTAACAGATATGAAGCAAAAACGTTCAACAAGTACATAAATATGCCATGTTCATTAAGTGTTAATGAAAGCAATAAGGCTTTAAGATGTACTTACATGGGTTAAAAAAGCACTCTAAAATTCTGCTAATAGCATTTAATATAAATTTAAATTTAATACATTTTCATTTTGTTGCAATTAGCATTACATTCAGTTCACACTTACGTATATCCTTTTAAAGAATATTATTTCTGTAATAGTTAGTCTTTTTAAAAGTATGATAAAGTGTGCTGCTTCTTCACAAGGGAATGAATCGGCAATGAGAGACATTACGGTTCAGTAAGTATTTTGGTTGCCAAGATATTTAAAAAAAAAAGCAAAAAAAACAACAAAAAAAAAACAAAGATCTGACCAGGCAAGTACAGTGAAAGATGTACATAAAACCTCCCAAGTGATAAGCTTATGTGATTAGATGAGTCACTTATCTTGGTGGCTTAGTAAACATGATGACAGGCTTTAAGTTAAAACAGATACACGTTGCAAGGAAAAGCAATCTGTTACATGACACAACATTTGAGAGAAAGAGAGATGAGGGAAAGAAAAGACTGGTTCAAAACAGCGTGAGGATGATATTCAGCAATAATAAGCAGCCCGCTGGCTGTTCTCTTCCATTAAAATCATATCTCACCATTTATTTTCATCAGGAAACCGAAAAAAAAAATGCCTGACCTAAATTTGTTGATTTGCACTAGCCTCTGGAAGTGAGGTGTAATAGATCGAAAAAAGCTATTACCATTTCAAGCCTTGCCGGCAAACCAGGATGAGGGAAGCAGGGCTTGGCCTGTCCATCAATTATTCAAGGACATCAAGTCACAAAGATGTAAATACACTGCCTGCATTTCCTTAAATATTAAACAATGCACTGCACTGCTGAATAGCACAAGGCCAGAGCCTTATGTAACCTCCTGGGCATGCATGATATGGACACTGAAAACTATAGGATGTGTCCCAAATATGTATCCCGGGTGAACTATTGTTTTAAATGTGAAGAGTGTCATTTTTTAAATGGTAAAATCCTAGTTTAATATGAACAGCCAATCAAAACATTGCTCTGTTTGTTTAAGCAGTCCAAACAAGAGATAATTGGTGGAAAGCTATATGTTATCATTTCCATTAATCTCAATGGCAGTTGCTCAGCTGGAGCATTCAGCTGTGGAAGTAGTCAACCTGCATGTTGGATTCTTCAATTAAAGGGACTTATTTGTTAAGACAATCCCCAGTAAAATTACATCAAGTCAGTGAATGTTTGATCAAAAAAAGTGCACAGTGACATGTTTTTTTATGCATATAATTTTTTTGTCAAATACACAGCTACTTTTGAAAATAAAATTAAAATATATATTTTAAAAAGGTTTTTAAATTAAAAACATTTTAATTAAATCATTTTAAATAAACAATTTAAAAAAATTCAGCTTATAAAATTTTTTTTAATTAATATTTAATTAATTAATAAAAATGTTTTGCTACTGCACGTAACAAAATGTAACTATATTTATTATAGATTAGTATAAAAAAAAAAAGCAAGACAGCTGAATTCATATCATTACTAAACATTAACACCACCACCAGCTGCAAAGGACATGGAAGCTAATCACCACACAAGGAGCAGATTGTAGCCATTTAGCAAACTTATGTCAAATCGGTGAAAGACATTAGATTCAGAATACATAGGAGAAGTTAAACAACACATAGGCTTTCTTAGAGTGGTCCCCTAAAGATATTACCGTTAATGTTCAACTGTGAGGAAATACTGTCGTCAGACTTAAACCAAAACACGTCTGTTTTTTAGAGAATCAGATAAAAAAGTTGCCTTATCTAGGCAGTATTGACTAACACGTGAATAATTTAGAGAACATCTCAGACTATACCAATAAGGGACCATTCAAAAACATCGCCTGGTTTGGGGGATCGGTCATTACCATTATCATTGCTATAGTTCATCAGCATGCCACAAAAGACAGTCAAGAGCTTCCCGGTGGCCGGGTCAGTGCTTTCGGCCAGAGACTTAATGTGCTCGGCAACTATCTGAGCACCGCCCGCTGCGTCAACTGCACTTCTGCCCTCATCTGCAAAACAAAGAGGTCACATAAAAAAGAAATAAACACTAAAAAAAGGCAACCAATAACACAAAGAAACATCAACCTGGAACAGAATGACAGAAAAGAGGGTGTTAAAGGAATAGTTCAAGTCTTCCCAAACGATTCACATGATTCAGTCGCAGAATTTTCCTTTTCGGTTGAACTATTCCTTTAATGGAGGGACAGGCTGGGATATTCATGAATGCATCCTTATGGAATGTAATATGACAACTGATAACATTACATGGAGAACACAAGAAAATAAGCATTTTGAGATAAAAGAAGAGCAAATGAGATCAAAAACTGTCTGCTGAAAATGCACATTACTCCAGCACTGGATTTGTTTACAGCTGTCAAGTTGACATGAGGTGCAGACGTAACTAAAGGCAAAACCAGAGACCAGAAGTGCAGCAGAAGCACAGCATACAGAATCCAGACTGCAGCAGAATCGCTAACAAGGGAAGGTGTTAAAAGATCCACAGAGATGCCGAGGTCCGGCGGAGTCCAGCATTATGTACACAGAGCATCAAAGTCAAGAGTGTGACTGGATCTTCTGACTGTCAGCTATATGGTTAAAGCAGCAAAATAAGAGATCTAAATTATGAGTACTCAAAAATTTAATGACAAAAGGTTTTAAAAGTAGAGCCCGACCGTTATGGGTTTTTAGGGGCCGATACCGATACCGATATTAGGGAGTAAAAAAAGGCCGATATCGATATATCGGCCGATATTCTTTGTGTATATTATAGTACAGTACCAGTTAAAAGTTTGGACACTTTCCCATTCGTGTGTCCAAACTTTTGACTGGTACTATAATACAGAATACAGTATATACATAAACAGAATATATATACATAAACACATTTTTTGCAATGATCACTCAAATGTGGTGATCAAACACTTATAATGACGTGACAAAGATATGTAATGGAGGCACGGCATTTAACTTACGGTCAAATAAGACAACGCTTGAATGCTGCTGCCTAAACAAGAGATCTCCTTACTGAAGTGAAAGTGTTGGCTGGTGTCACTATTTCGCGAACGTGGTGGCGGATTCTCCACCAAATTCGGGGGATCCCTTCAGCTCGAGGAGCCCTCTCGAATGCCACCCGCTGCACGTCGGTAGCCGCGAAGGGTGGCATTCGCTATCGACGCGGGGGTGGTCTCATTCGAAAGGGGGCCTCGAGACGTACACTCGATTCGGCGTTCGAGAGGGTTCCTCGAGCTGAAGGGATCCCCGAATTTGGTGCAGATCCGCCGCGCCATTACGGAGATATGGCCATTCAAAGTTTCAATGGTATTTCATACACTTAAGCTTTAAAGCGTTTCATCCAGGTCGCCAGTAGCAAACAATGGAGCGCGCTCTGCTGGACAAACTACGCAATTACACCATTTACAAACATTTTATCTGCGTTTTATGTTTTGTAAAAAAAATTTCATATCGGTGGCATATTCGCCGATACGATATATCTGCGACAGGCTCATATCAGCTGACAAAATCGGCAAAACGATATATCGGTCGGGCTCTAGTGGAGATGATGAGTCAGTGTCGTCGACTTCGTCACTGCAGCCGAAAATACAGAAAACACTAGTTTGTCAATTAATTATTATAATGTGAAGGCAGTCTTCTTGCTGTTTTTTTCCCTGACACATTCATAATCATTACTTCAGCAGTGCGCTGCGGCAAGCTTTATGTGTGTACTTGAGCACTGATAGACTATAGGCAATTAAAGGCTCATTATTATGAATTATATGGTTTATTAATATAAACGTGCGATTAGTCGACTAAATGAACAACTATTAATCGATCAGAAAAATCTTTAGTCGAGGACAGCCCTAGTAAAAACCTTTCGACAGAGCACAAATTTACACTGAACAAACATGTGTTCTCACTCTTCGTCATTATCATCATCGTCGTCGTCGTCGTCATCATCATCTTCATCACTATCCTCATCTTCATCGGTGTCCATTTTCAGC